TTGTACGTACAACCGGCTATTAGGGCCCCCGGGAATCACACAAAGTGAGTGCGTGAGTCGCACCTGAATCGTACGTGGGTGGCACACGTTGGATCCATGGAGTTACTGGTTCTGATTCTGGTGGATTTGATTCAGGTGGTCAGGTATTGTTTCCGTTTGTATCCAGTGTAGTGAACCGACACAGACTTGATGTGTGTGGTTGACAGGTTGACGTTGTGATCATGGGGTGCCATCTTCAGTCACGTAGTGTCGCTGCCAGGCGTTCCACTGCCGTGTTAACACGCCGTATACATGCATGAATCAAAACAATCAGCTTTGACTTTTTTACTTTTTTTACTTTTGACAACTTTGAGTTGACTGGACTTTTGTAGAATTCGAATCTCGTTCATTCTACTGCGTTATTTGCTGACGGCCAACTCATGACCTGTGCTAACGCGTTCTTCCAGCCTTGCAAAGCTATGTCCTTCATCACCCAGGTCTGTGGGAGCATCAAGCTTTTGCTATGCTAGTGCACTAATCGCGGAAGCCTACCGGAGATAGTCCTACGTGGCCAGTGTCGCAAACAGCTCTGGTGAAAGGATCAGTGCCTGTCGTTGCCTGATAATATGAGCCTTAGCGGATCAAAGTGGAGCCGCCGCAGGCACCCTTCCTGCAGCACTGAGCGTGATTATCACCCACCTCCGTGTGACATTTGCAAAGGCTCAGGTAAAATAACTCCGACGGCATTCAGAAGAGAGGATGGCACCAGCGTTGCTGATTTATCCTGCTGCCGGATAACACCGAGCCCTACTGCCCCCGTCCCTGCCGCCCTATCCCAGTGGTGTTGCCCTCCGCCGCCGGTTCGTGCCTGGCTCAGTGTGCCCCGCCGCCGCCGCCGTGGGCGGTGACCCGGCGACCGACGCTCTGCCCGATCGTCGGCCGCCTCACGGCCTGGGCCCGGCCGTCTCCGCCGACGCGGCCGACGCCGCCTCGAAGGCGCGGCCGCGTCAGCCATTCCGACGCAGCCATTCCGCGGCAGCTATTCCGATGCAATAGGCTGTTGGCCTAAATACACCCCCCCCCCCCCCTCCCTCACACCGTCAGATCCAAGACTGGCATAGCTCTGGGCCCATCAGAGGGCCCAGCAGAGGAGACAGAGTTGGAGACCGACAAACGGTACATGAGTGGTTGCTATTCATAATGCAGCATGACGGAGAGAGTTCAGTGAGTCAGGTGATTCAAGTTCAGGTGTGGTCTGCAGTGGAGACGTGCTGTTTTGAAATGCATGATGATTCTGTCAAGGAATACAGCCACTGAAATGTGGAAAATTAATGTGAAATGGACAACGACATGGCAGCAGAGCCATGCAAATATAGCACGTGAAATCGCCACAAGGTCCGAATAGCACAAAACAAAACAGCTTTCGCCACATTTGACATCAAGCGCGTATTTTGGTGGTCTATGACGAGGTCAGGATGTTGAAATTTTCGCTGTTATGTAGTGTGATTGAGCATGCTCGTATAGCGAAGCACGGTAACCTTAGCGCAAAGTAGACCGCAGGTTCACCTAATTCCGTCATCGTTACACAATATGAGTGCCGCATGAGTGTGATATTAAATTAATCGAGTGTTGCCGTAAAGCGGACCCACCAAGCCACGGATGTCAGCTGCGACGAGAGCACACAGGTAGAGACGACATCAACTGTCCACCGCCCGTGCACGATGCAGGTGCGTTCGGATATGTGCACCTGTGCTGTATTGGGTGTATTGCGCAAAGCATTTTATTTGAATCCTATTCGGTGTCTGACCATCGCTATCATGTTTTTTCCTAGTTCTTTAAAGCCATACGTCCGCACCGTGTCCAGACTGGTGCAAAGTGCTGATGCACCTGGTGTCAACTGTTTTTACCATTTTCACCACCAGACACTACGAAACTTGTACTTTGTACGTACCCTTTAGTCAATAGGCTGTTACGCCGAAAACGAAGTAGGGTTTTAAATCACTCTTTCGTTTGATATGTTTTCCAATTTCGATTGCTTCATTGTCAACTGCGCTAATGTTGTCTTGTTAGAGCTATACAGTGGAGCTACATATTTTCTCGCATAAAGCCGCCCCAAATATACCAAAGCCGTGCACAATGGTCACATTCGTATCACCTACGAGTCCCAATTGACTCATAAATCGCTCCATTTGTTCATCACCATTAAATGTGTATGCAGGGTTAAACATGTTTGTGCCAATGTCATCATTGTTAAACATGTCTCAAATAAAGAAATCATGTTGGTTGGAGCGGCAAGCGATGCTGCTGGATCGTACACCCCCGGTGCATGTAGATCTTCTGACAAGGACACCATCGGTGACGCCACTAATCAGGTAGAGGGAAACTGGGTGAAACAATGTTACCAACTGCACATGCGTTCACGCTCGACGTGGTGACGCGTAGAAAGGACGACAAAACAGGCAATTGGTGAGCTAGGGGAGGCCGATATGGAAACGAAACGGGGAATTCGGAATGGCCATTGTGTGCTGCCATTTGTTAGGTGATAACCTGAACCGTCTCGAGTCAGTTTTCATTAAACATTGACACATTTTCAGAAGGTTGTTGCCTCCCTGCATAATTTTTGGATTATTGTTAAATGATAGTTGTATTTTGGTTCGCATACTTAAAGTAAGATCAATCGACTATTTGAAAACCATTGTTGTTCGTGATGCGTGCTTATCAAGGTGATGTTTTATCAATACTCCCAAGTAGAGCTCTGTATCAAAGAGAACACGTGCTTTTTCTTTTTGGCCGTTGGCCGTTTCAGCATTGGCCGTTTCAGTGAGCAGCTTGATCCAGAATGAGTCGTACTTCGACGGATTTGCAAATTTAGTGTTAAATACTTGTTAGGGGTATTGTCAATTCCACACTAACAACCTCTGTATGGTACGGAGTTAAATTAAAAACGCGATTGGTTTCAAACACCCCGCCTCAGCACATGCCTGGTTAATACATGGAAAGTAGTATAAGTTTATGCGATGTTTATTAACCGAATTAAATGTAAAGATATTTCAATGGTTGAAGACACACGTCAATGTGGTAGTACATTCTCGCGTTTTTTTGTGAGCAGATGACATCTATCAACTTGTGCGTAGAACTGATGTCGTTTTATCGCTGTAAGATGTAAAAATAACCGCAATCTTGATCAGCAAGAAAAAATCCAAAATCTCCATGTGGGAAGGCTATTCAAAATCTGATATCACATCACGATTCACGCAGCGGACAAGCTGCCTTTGAGGAGGCTGTATGCCCCAGTCCGCTATCCATGCCGTGTCCTCCCCCCCGAGTGGGCCGGTTACCTGGGCGGGGGGATGGGACTGGCTGGATCGGTCAGACCGCGGCTTACCTGCACCACCATGGTCCCGCAGCCGCCGGTTCTGGGGTTCCCCCACAGCTGCGCAAGGTGCCGGCTTTATACCCGCGACTGCAACCGGACACGGTCATCTTCAGTACCACGAGACACGTGGCACGGTCACGTTACCGCCGGGGGTGGGGACAAGGTCACCCTCTCTACTACCGGGGATGGGGACACGGTCACCCTCTCACAATCGCCGGCGATGGGGACACGCGTCTCGTCTTTCTTCTTCCTGCTGTCTTCAGTTTAGCATTCACTGTTTGGTGCAGTGCAAGGTGTGTCGAGCTGTCGGATAGTGACCACCGATGGGTTTCTATCTCCATGTTGTCTTGCCTAATGTGTGGAAATTGAGCCGGGGTTCGTTGTTCCTGATTTCGCGTCAGCGTATTCGGCTGATTGCTCTGATCGGTGCTGACAAGCGGGTGCTGTGACCTGGACCTGGACCTGGCCTGACCTGGACCTGGCCTGACCTGGATCTGGCCTGTCCTGGGCCTGACCTGCCCTGGACCCGACCTTCCCTCACCTTACCATAGCCCGACACTGACACCCCGACCGCGAGGGCCCAATTTTGTGGTAAGGACGTTCCTGAGTTAATGGCCTCCTAGGTCACAAAAATAACCCGGAGGCGTGCCGATCATGACAAATCGTGACTTTCCCGACCACTGTGCCAAAACTACGCATCGCAGCTCCATGACAATGTCAGCATAGCCATCGCATGTTTTTTGTGCATCAAATGGCGTACCGGCGGACCCTGCCAGGCCAACTGGCAGCCTCCCAGAGCGGGCCAAAATAGGCTGTGTTCGTACGGCGGATATCCGTAACTTGCTTAAGGGAACTGTTCGGCGAAACTGATACATTACTCTAAAAATGAATGACAACAATGTTTTGTACAACATGAGAGCTGATCGGGGAATGGCTTTCGGTCAAACAGGTCACGCAAGGCTGCTGACCTGACATGACCTCGGGGCCCCGAAATATAACGTACTGACGGGTACCCCGGGACCTCGCTTGACCCCATCTACACGCTGGCCATCATGTTCCGTTTTCATGCTGGCATCCTTCCGACTGAATCACTGTCGTTTGCTCCACCCACATAACCTGACATGATCCGAGGCTACCTGGGTATGTCAGAAGGGTCACTGTATATAGTTCATAAGTCTGCGTATCTGCTTTGTCAGATGAAAACTGATTGCATGACGAGGTCATGCTTGGTCATTCACGTGGATTAACTCGCGATATGTCAGAGGTCATCAGACTGCCCAATCGGGGATGGGCAGCCTGTTGACCAAATGCATGATGAACTAACAAGTTTGCATGGCACCCCGGAGCAGCGAGGACAGCGGCCGGTGCATCATGCAAGCCTTCGAGATTTTTCCTGTATGTCCGTTTTCTGATATGACACGAGGTTGCAACTGGCCTCAAAGTGTGGAGAATACAATTTGATCCATGCATATTGGGGGGAGGGGGAGGGGGCTGCACCCTACCGTTTTTCTAGTCAATGTGGACACTTCGGTTGGGTGAGGGCTAACTTGACATGGCTGGTCGCCGTCACCTGGAAAGTGGATATCTGGTCCAACTCCTCAAGAGCCCAACTATTCTGCTTCACTGTAGTCCGACCCGACTAACT